ATCTATTAGCATGAGTGCATGCAGTTTTTACTATTTTTCTATTTTTTTACTCTAGAGTATGTGCCTTTACGCCTATGTGCATTTCATAATTACCAGTAGCTGAAAGTAATTTTTTTATTGTTTGTGGTAATTTTTTAGATTGATATTTAGTTTTGAAAAATTTGACATGATGGCTTGTGGCCTGCAATATTGCTAGGGGTGGATTTTGAATGAAGACAACCCATAGCAGTATGGAGGACACAGATTCATGACATTAGTCTACTTTCTACATTTGAGAATATTGTATAGTGAAAAATGCACCGAATATTTGCTGAATTAAAAACATTTAAATAAGAATGAAAATTAAGACTTAAGTAAAATAATTTTATTTGTTTTCTCAATAGTCTAAATAACTTGCCATCAAGTATGTTGCTTCACGAATCTAAAAATAACAGATGATGAAATGATAGTATCATATTAGAAATTACTTTAAATTTTGGCATTGAGAGTACAATTTTCTCAGTCTGGACTGGAGTAGATCCACCACTTTGAGATTGTCTTGAATTAACAACAAGCATAAAGTCATCAACATGGCCACCAAATGTAGCAATATCTTTGTAAGAGTAGGTAACAATCTCTTTCTATTAATGACAGAAAAAAGAAAATGATACTTCCATGTGAATATATATATGAGTCTGGATGATGATTTCGTTATTAAGTATTGTAAATGTGGCAGATTAATAAATCATTGAATTTCAAAGAATAAGTATAATGTAAGCATACATACAATAATATATATTTGGTATTTATCTGTTTAGAAATTTTTGTGTTGTTCAGGGTAGTGTCAACCAGGTGCATCAGTACTGTGACAAACCATAGCATCAATGGATCAGTGTCAGGGTCTTGATACAGTATCAGCAGCGATTGATTCAATAATGCAATCTATATCTTTTGATGATCTTGACTCTATGAGGATAATTTCTAATTTATAAAAAATAAAAGGTACATGTACATGAACATGTATTGAGAAATAGTAAATCATGACTTACTTTACATCTTTATGTCAGTGTTTTTGCAAAGCATGCTGTGAGCTAAAAAGCATTGCAATAGTACATGGCTTTTGGGGCAACTTTAAAAGTTCAATTTTCATTGGGATCAATCAGGAAATGAGGAAATAAAATGGAGAATTCTCTCCTTTTCATATTTGGCAAAAATTTAGCCAAAGATCCTGTACAGGGTCTTTGACTAAATTTTGAAACAACTTTTAAAATTCATAAAGATGCAATTTTGATGGAATCAGGTCAAACTTTCTACAGAACATAATTACATGTAGAGCTATATGTAAATGTATCAAAAAAATTATCCTTTTCATTTTTGAGCAACTTAAAAAAATTTATTAAAAATCCAATTTTGATTGGAATCAACTGAATGTTTCTTAACAACATAAGTATGGTACATGCATTATGTATCATAAATAATTAGAAAAAAAGATAAATTTCTCCTTTTGACAAAATTTGGCTAAAAACCAACAATCGAGTCAACTAAGCTAGTAAAGCATCTATTTTTGGTGAAATATCAGTAGAAGTTACAATACTGTAAATAGATACAATCATTATGTATTAAGCATGTACATTTAATACTCACCACTTTGTTTGATCATATCTGATTTGCTCATGGCCTCACCTCATAAATAGATCTATAGATATGATATCACCTACAATTCAAACTTCAAAGGAGCCACACCCAAATTAAGTCCCTAGCTAGTCTCGCCCATAGCTTAGAGTTTAGACTATTGCTTGATATGGGTAAGATACATCATCCTACAGGCTATGATCCTCGTAAAACTTGTGTTCTTTACATTACAGAAGCTGTTGCTTTATTCAATTACTCCAAAGAGGAGGACGATGAACTGAGCCTTAATGTTGGGGATGTAGTGACTGATGTGACAGTGGTGAGTTAAAAGCAGCTGTACTTTCTGATGGGGTTAATCTTGCCCGGATTGCATTGCTTTTTGTGCAACATGGTGTAACTGGGAATGTTACATATTAGGGGCGGGATGAGAGTCTGAGACTATATGTTTTGATGCATGCTACGACCATTTATTTCTATAGCCTGGTTGCACATAAGCGCAAAAAAGCAATGAATCATAAAAATTATTGAGAACCGGCTGACCTTTAGCTAGGGCCGCTGATAGTTTTGGCGGGTCCAAGTATGTTCATTTGCAGCTTTAATAGTGGGTGTGGTTGGGATTAATTAATTTTACCTGCACGCATGACAACATGTATTTTGTCTATTGAATGCAAACTAGCTAGGAAGTTAAATTTTGATGATATTATTCTAGACAAAAGGCGGGCCAGAAGGGCCCATCTTTTGTAATGATTCGTTTATTAAGTTTTAAAAAATTTCCTTGGGGCCCTTAAAATTGTTGGGCCAGAGTATTTGGCCCTTTTGCCCCCCTCCTCACAGTGGCCCTACCTTTAGCCATACATTTATTATAACAAATTTGACATGCCTACACATTTTTTTAACTGCAATTTGAAGTAGGAACAAAATTTATGCTAATACAAGAGGCTATAGACCCTATTGGGCGGTAACTTCTACATGCAGTTATAGATACTGTATATCAGATATTATTACTTATCTTCCGTGCCCTAACCACATTTTTTAATGAAAAATTTATGAACTTCTCCTGCTGGACAGTAAAACAAGACAAACCAATGGATAGGAAGCCAAAAAGCCTTTGTAGACAAATCACTTTGAGTGCAGTGAAGCTTTTACTTAGGAGACATTCTGGCCTTTATTCTTTACATTTTTGCGGCTTTGGAAGCCACAAAGGTCCCTTGTTTATTTTTCTTTTTGGATCTAGTAGCCATCTTGCCATCCAAATTGTGTAGGTGGATACTGTAGTGCAATAATTACTTGCAGAAGTTTGTGCGCAATAGGTATAAGTTAA